ATGGCTTGTGGGTTTCACGCCAACGCTATGTTAAACCCTAGCTAACCCACTTACATATAATTTCCAATTTCAGGATCTCTGTTTTTCTCTTTTCTCATATATTTTCTTTATTAACGAATCTAATAATAATTGTTGCTTTCCCTGTATAAATAATACCTTTAAGTTTTTACCTTTAACTAATACTACAAATATCTTTTATTTTAACATTTTATTACCAATTATAAGAGCCTCATGTTTTTTACATTCATCGCAATAATTTTATAAATTTTATCTTTTATTTTCTATGATTAAAAATATATTATTTTAATTTTTTATATCATTTTATTTTTATGCCAATCTCTATAATTTTTTTATTTTTTAAGCTCTTGTAATATATATATTAATAGTGATACTTAAGTAATATAAAATAATTTAACATCATTATTTAATAGATGATAAATTTGTTAATTTTTATAATAATTATATTAAAGATCATGTAAATCATAATATCTAATTAACTAATTAAGTATATATAAAAAATATATCATCATTAAATCTTATATTATATGGAGACTATAATGAAGTATTTTTAATTATAAATTTTTTTAAAAACTATATAAGAACCAAAATATCTAAAATGTTAAAAAAATTTAAACCTAAATACATACTATCGTTAATCTTTGACGAAAATTTTCAATTTTATACATCATTTTAATAGTTTTGCTTAGAATTTCTTTTTATCAAATTCTACCATTAATTTTAAGCTCTTCTAGTCTTCTTATCTGGCTAACTAAATCTACCAAAAATATTTATTTATCTTCTACTCATGTTTGACATGTAATTGCATTTATACCTTTTTTTATTTTGCTTGATGAATGATTTTAACGTCGTGCAACTAATAGTTAATACTTAATATCAATACACCAAAGCCAGTTTTCTAACAGGCTATTTTTATCTTGTGGCATGCCCAAGTCACAGGCGTACATTCCGGAAAACATAGTAGATCAATTGAAAATTTGTATCCATAAAAAGCAAATACCTCTTTCTAAAACGAGGCCCTTGAATAAGCCGAGAATTTTTTGATTGTTTCATACAAGTAACCGCTTTACACTGACCTTCCCGGGAGAAAAATCTATGCCTCACATTTTTCTGCTGTCATATATGAACACCTCTATACCATCTTATGTACACCAATATTTAAAGAAATGAATGGCTTGGCTTAATCACAATCGAAGGTAGAATAATGGTAAACGGATGCTCCTGCACACTCTTACGATATCTCACAATTGAGATATATCAAATCAAAAGCTCCAACTAAGACTAGAAACCAAAATCCGTTGCGATGTTGACATGTGTCAATTCGAAACGCTGACTATAAGCATGCACACTGGACTTGAATTTTGATCGGTTAATGGCTGGTCTGGTTTTCCTGTTTTTCGTACCGATCAATCCAACATTTGTCTTTCTTTGCTGCATCTTTCCATCTTCTGCCAAAAACTTGCATTTCAATGTATGACTGCATCCTAACCTGCATGTGGTATGTCGCTTTGTCAAATAGGAGCACAAGGTGCATAAATCTACGTGTAGTCTCATATAGTAATAGCGTACTTACTTTAGCTCTAGCATTATCTACGGGGGAACCCGATGGCGCCTGCAAACCAAAGGATAAAACCCTTATTAATAAGCCTCACCGTTATATTTAACATTTTAAAGATGATATGTTGTCAGCTTGAACTAAACCAAGTGAAGTGATTACAACAAGCACGATAAATTCTTAACAAGGGAAAGTTTATTACTACTTTGCCATTGTCATCCAAGAGTTACTTTACATGTAGAAATGAAATCACTTGCCTCATTGCCATTTGAGCCCCCGAGAGTAGGCAGACCCAGATGTACGATGTACTGAGAATCAACCACACCAACATTTTGCATTCGATCACCCTGAAATATTGTTGAGATGAATAACAACCACACTGAAAGGATTTGGCATTAAATGAATATGCTGTTATGGAGCAAGGAAGTTACCTGTGCACAATAGCCAAGCTGCCTATCCAGGCCCCAGGCATGGATTAAGTCATTCTGTAAATAGAAATATGATTAGAAGAATGAGCTCATGACAACAAAAAGAAGCCATGTTGAATTCAAATACTATTGAACAAGTCCAGCTAAACAAAATAGCAGTAAATCACCAACTATATATATGAAAATGAAATTGCATCACACTATGGTTAAACATACAAGTAGTAATGTGTAAACAATACAATCTTCTCTATATAACTAACAAATTTCCTAACAAGAAGCCGAGAGCAATGTCAAATTTAAAATGATGAATACAAATCCCAGGTCCAGATCATACCAGAAGTTGAGGTAGAAAAAACTCAAAAAGACAGTATAAGAATTAGAACTTTAAATGGTACAAACCAAGCATAACAAGTTTTACCTTAAAAAAATATGTTCATTTAATTTGATCTACGGAAGACAATATTTCTCCTAAAATACATAATCTTAACAGCTCAACCTGATAGACTTTATCAAGTATAACTCCAGATGATTAAACCATAAAAAGTTAGAAACTTCCAGAAATAATAAAAAAAATCTGTGATATCATGTCACGTAATGCTCTCAAGCAGAAACAGTTCTTCATAATTAATTAAAAAATTACGATATCATGTCATATAATGTTCTTAAGCAAAAATAGTTCTTCACAATTTTCACAATATGATCCAGTACCAAGTTTATATAGTTTTTATTAGTATCCATACCTGGATCAAATGCCATACACATTGCCAAGACTTTTTAGAAAACACCGGTGCCATCATTTCCACCCAACTGCAAAACAAGTTTTTTCCATATTAAATTATGAATCCTATTTAACAGCAAAAATAATCAGCGCAACAGAAAAGAAAATAATATAGGACACACAATGTGCAACTGTTTACCCAATGCAAGGAGGAGCAGTGCTTTTGTCATCACACCTTCCACTACCTTTAAATTTATAATACCTTCTGTACAGAAATGATAGAAAAAATAATATTAGCAATATTTTGAGGGGGGAAAAAACTTAATAAAAAATCCCCAATACCATGTTGGCATGGGGATACAACCTTGGGTAAGGGAACTGTAAATCAATTGAATTTATGATAAAAAAAGCTCATTGCAGGTGTGTATTCAATCAAATACAGAGTCTTAGTAAACATAAATTCACAACATAAATAATAAGGCTAAATTTTGTGCAGTATGTTTTTCCACACTAGCACACTTTACAGATATGTTATATATATTTTGAAATATAACCTGCAGAATCACAAGGAACAACATAATATTCTAGTTCATTAATAAAGTATCATGTCAGTTATATTATATAGTATAATTGTATGATCCTACTCAATTAAGGATGTGTTTGTGTAAACAACTTAATTAAACACTTATTCAATAAGTTTTTATCAAATGAGAACTGATTCACAGGCTCAATTATGAAAAATACTGAAATAAGCTTTAAAAAGTTTATTTTGATAAGTTTTTTTTATGAATTTTATTGAAATACTTCCTCTATTCTTGATTAAAAGCAAAAACAACTGATTTTATGCATATTAAGAAAGTTAATTATTTGTATTAAATTTTACTAGTTCCATAAGATTATTCCTAAATTGTCCTCGGTATAAATGTCAAAAAAGTGGTGCAACTAAAAAGTCATACATTAAAATAGGGTTATTTTAGAGAAAACATCATTAAATGGTGCAAATGCAAAAATAGTTAAGTTTGCTTATATTTAAAAAAAGAAATGTATTTTTTTTTACTTATAATAGGGAATAGAGAGAGTAAGCTGGAAATAGGAAGGTCATAAACCAAAATAAGCTCTTCCCAATGGCCCCTATATAAAGACAGCTTTGTCCATATACATGGGCAGCATACATAATAAGGGTAAGTTTTTGTGAGGCAACATTTTTCCACGGCCGTGTGCTCCAAGGAAATGCTACACAATATTCTAGTTCATTAATAGAGTATCAAGTTAACTGTATTTTAATAAAGGTGTAAATCTACCACTGCAACACTGTTTATTGCAAAAGGTTGGGGAAATAAGGTCAACCTGTGCACTTTAGATCCTGCTTTATGGACTGTCAGTGGATGATGTACTTCAGATTTGGTAGGATCCAGAGCTGGCTGAGATATCTCAAGTCCCTCTTCTTTAACAATAGACAAATACCTACCAAATAATCAAGTCATACATGAGGCAAAAATAATCACCATAAGCGATTAAAGAAAAACATTTTACCACTTCTCATCTAATAGAATCAACTAATAGGCTAAACAAAGAAATTCAATTTCTTGACCAATGACCACATGCAATTCATTAATAAAAATGATACCAGTATTTATTCACATGATATATTTGGCAATTCAAATAAAGAGAGTAAGAAACAATAAACAGTATGTTCTAAGTGTATGTCTATGCAACAAAAAGAACAACCAAGTCTTTTGCAACTAAGTGAAGTTGACTACATAAATCAAACGGCGCCGTAATATTCTGTCATATATCATGTCTAAGTACAAATTATTGACCTCCAAGTCCTTAGTTGCTTTTGCCAATAGGTTTTCTCAGTCTCCCTCTTCCTCTAGGGACTAGGCTACCCTCCATTTAATTTACTCTCTTTATCAGGGCTTCTACAAGTCTTCTCCACACATACTCAAATGACCTAATGCAAGATTCTACCATCTTTTTTACTATAGGCGTTACCCAACTTTTTCCTTAATGCATTCAATCTTAATCCTATCTTCTTTTATTCCTTCTAGTATATGCCCCCCATATCTTTTGTCTTGCCCCATTACTTTTGTCCCTATCAGCCCCAACCTCTTAATTTCAGATAGTCTCTTGTACTATTTTCCCAATCCCTTTGGCCATCTTATCTCACAATCATTTGCACTTGTGTCTCCCAACACCCTTCCTCCACACCTTTTCATCAAAAGATCTTTCTTTTTTTGTCTTTCAATTGTCATCAATTGATTCTTAAAACCATATCCTAGTTTTTCCTCTTTACTCTCTTCCAATTCTTACAACCATGACCCAGACTCTGTTTTCAACAAACTATAAAAAGATATTTAATGAAGAAAAAAATACCTTTTTGGGTCAAAATTATCAACAAGAAGGTCTTCATCCCAGAGAAATATATAATTGTATTCAGCAACAATGTCTGGATGCATAAACCGTTTCGCAAACCACCTATGTCATCACATAGCAATTTTCGCTCAATAATTACCCATGACTTTAATCTTCAGAATAGATTATTACAATTAGGGAAAACAAATTCACATGAGCTGATTATACCATTTTGTTTGATTGTTAGCAGACACATGTATGGCACGATTACTCCAAGCTAAACTCTTCCATCCATCCACAATACCATCATAATGAAAAAGCATCACAACAAAATCACTTGACAAGAACTGCCATCAGCAATATAAGTTAGCAGATATAATGAGTTTCGATCAAAGTCAAATTGTGTACGAAGCAATAATCACCTTTTCAACAATTTTGTTGACAATTTCTTTTTGCTTAACTCCTACTGCCATTGCCAATAAGTTCAAAGGGCCCTTTAAAACTCTCTGTAGCAAAAAAAAATGAAAAAGTGATGATCAGAAAGAGGTAGAACAACAAATATTTATTACTGAAACAACTCTGATCAGTATCGGTGTGATACAAAACCAGAGATTCAGAATGATGCAATGGGGACTCTCTCCCTCGTTCCAATTCACAGGCATTAAAGTGACCTAATTCTCTCCCTTCCAACTTCTTTCTCACAACTCTCAATTGACTCTAACCAACTCCCCTTATTCCCTTCATATACTGAATACAAGAAGTTATTCTGTTGTTAACAGAAACAGGTCTTAATCCCCTAGAAATCCTCTTATATGCCTAACCTGGACCTGGATCCTTTTAATCAGTGGGTCTTTGTTAAGAAACCACATCCTACTAAAGTTCATTTATATTAGGGAAGAACAAAGAGAGACAGTCAAACAAAATCAAATGCTTAATGTACCAGATACCAAGAGAAGGAATCAAGAGGAGACTTTACTTCTGTGCCTATAAGACAGGGGATGAAGAGAAGAGAGATGCAGGAAATAAGTGAAGGACAGTGACAGAGAGTGCAGGGTCTCTTGAAAAACCTGTGCAATCATTTGTGCTTCAGTCTTTATTGTTCATTGTAAGTCTACCCACTGGTACTCATATCATATAAAATTAAAATATTCATTGAACATATCAGTTTACTGGTTCAAGCTCAAACTCCAATTAACTGACTTTATTAGAAACAAAATATTTCATTGATGGATTGAATTATGCAGTTTAAGATTTACACTTTAAGAGTCTTGAGTGAATTTCTACACAAAAAATGAATGGCTAGAATCATGCACACATTTCACATACATTATCTTTACCAGAGTCCCATAAGGGCCGCATTTCCAAGTTCGATGTTCTAGCAATAATTCCTTCAGGCAAAGCCTCACTTCCAATAGGCAAGCATTGTCTCTAGGGAAACAGAAAGAGGAAGAGAATTAGAGATAGTTCCAAAGAGGGGGGTATAGCTTACAACTTACAAGCTATATAAAAAAGAAAATTTTCCCTAAAATAACAAACCTTGCATGCATTGGATTTTGAATCTGGTATTGTATGAACTAGTCCCCATCGTGCTAATCTCTGCACATATAATACCCAAAAGTATTTTCAAGCAATCGAATTTCAAATGCAGGGAGAAAATAAAACAAACAAGATTAACTAAAATTGAACAAAAGGTAAAGACTGCCAAAGCCTAAAAGAGGAATGCTACTAACACTCTTTGCATGCTCTTTATGAGAATAAAACCTTTGTCAGACAGTCCAAGTTTGTGAATCTTCTTAATTTTTATCATTACTTGCAAGTAGCAAATACTAGCCACAAGATACTTCTTGCTACTGCTCGAATGAACAAATACCATCCAAAATTATATTTTTCCACCATTTTACCAAAAGTAACAGTTTGAAGCATTATTCATAGAGATAGTCATAAAGTGTGAAAGTGATCAACAGTTTGAAGCATTATTCACAGAGAAAGTTACAAAGCCAGCACATGTACAGCAAACCTTTCCAAATTCCCAGAGACCTATCTACAGCAACATCAATATTGGTATTATATTTTTCAATTGAAGAAGTAAACATTGGAGTAGCAACACCATCACAAAATTCCCGGTAAAAAGATAGGAATACATACTTGCTTGTATTCCTTTGCAGAGACCGCATTGCCAACGAAATAAGCACCAGAAATCAAAGAAACCATTATGATGACACTCCAAAGGAACAACCTATTCTTGGGGTCCGGCAAGACAAAACCCTGGCAAGGACAACGGTTATAACTTATAACAACAGCTTGAGAATTATTACAGTTCAATAAACTTAAAACGGCTTCTTAGAAAGATTATTACGGGATAATCCCCCCTGCGTACTCGTTTAATAGGCCAGCCACCAAAGGAAAAAAAAAATACAAAATTTAGATGAATAAACAAAAATTAAAGTTGAGTTCATTTTGCCCCTGCTGCAACATAATAATAAAAGGTAAAGCAAAGACGACTCTCACTTCTCAGCGGACCCAGTATAATACTATTTTAGTAAACCTTATCAAACCGCAAGGGATGCAATATAATTCTCAACAAGACATGGTGTACACAATCCTCAAAATAGAATATGCCTCTTGATCAAAATATGTAACTAATCACATAAAAACAAAGTAGAGAAAGAGCACCAGAGGCACAAAATAAAATAAGTTGCGGAAAAACATAGATTTTGAAGGAGCGACGTGAAAAGTAGTTTTAAATTGACGGATGAAGCAGGCATGTTGAATAAGGGAAGAATAAAACAGCAGCGAGAGAATTAGTGAAGAAAGTGGGCTTACAGTTACAGAATCGGAAGACTTCATTGTACGTTGCGTTGTGAGTGAAAGCAGAAAGGGAGGAAAACTTTTATGAATGTTGGTTGAAAGAGAAAAGGGAAGAAGAACAATTAGAAAGGAAGGAATAGGAGAAGAGAAAGTTGGTTGGAGAAAGAAAGGGAGAAAGAGAAGAGAGAATAAAGAGCAAAGAAAGCGGTCTACGGCTGGAAGAAGAATAAGAAAAAACCAAACAAAGAATCAGTGTCTTCTGAGTTCTAAGAAACACGTCTACTGATTACTGAAAACAACGTCGTACTTCGTAGTCGTCAGGGGATGCCGAACATAAAATTAAAACAACTTTGTTTTTACATTGTGTACTATAGAAAAAACGCATTAGTAACGCAGCAGTGCATTTAATTTAATTCATTTATTGTTAAATTTATGGATCAAAAATACATATAATTTAAAAAAGGTAAAAATATATTTTTTGTCTCTCGTATTATTTATTAGTGTTAATTTAGTCTCACTTTAATTAATTAAATTAATTTAATTTTATATTTTTTAAATGTATTTCAATATTTAATTTTTCATTTTCTCTTTATGCTAGCATGACACATGTCACATTCCTTAAGTATTTAAACGGAGAAAATAGGAGATCAAATATTGAGATATATTTTAAAGATGTAGGACTAAATTGATTCAATTAATTAAAGTGAGACTAAATTGACACTAATAAATAATATAAGAGACGAAAGATATATTTTTGCCTTTAAAAATTTAAAATTAAAAACATTTATATAAATTATAATAAATATATTAAATAATAGAGCTTCAAAATATTATAAAAATGCTTTTTTAAAAAAGTAATAGAAATTGCTTTTTAAAAGATAAAAAATAATTATTTTTAAAATAAATATTTTAGACAAACATATAAAAAAATGATATTTCTAAATTTATGTAAAATCAAATTTTATACTTTAATTAAGAACACAAGTATCACATTATTTATATTAACAACTTTCGTTCTACTAATAAAATAATTGAAATTAAGAAAAACATGTTTGTTTTAAAAAGGAGCGATTAATAAATGAAATATAACATGGAGGGAACTTTTTTTATTTCATTTTAAAGGGAAAGGAAAGGGGGTCCAATATCCATTATTGGTGGCCAGAGTTACATTTTTTAATGGAAACAGAGAGAAGGAGAAGAATGGATAAGCACGACGTCAAAATAAATGTCTTTTAATGTCCAGCTTGGTGTTTTAAGTTACAGCTCCAGGGATCACGTTTGGGAAATCATTTAGGGAAGCTTAGTTAAAATATAGTTTAAATATGTTTTTAATTTCTATATTTACCGTCAAAAAGTTCCCTATATATATTTATTTATTATATAATTTTAGTCGGTATAAAAATTATTACTTGTCTTGATTCTTGTAAGTTGTGTTTTAGTTTGAAGTAAAATGGATTTGAAATCCTTTTGGTTGCTTGGAAACGACGGCGTGTTACACGGAGCATGTGCTGCGTGCCTCCAGTCATGTTCGTTCCCATTCCCCGCACTTCCAACAACACAACATTCACGCCACTTTTTATTATTATTTGACCAATAATGGTTCGATAAAATATTATATATTTTTTTAACATGTAAATAAAGATTTATAATTTAATAATTATAGTTAATTATTTTATAAGTTAATTAATTATATATTATCAGTATAAAAAAATTTATATTAACAACCAATCAAATATTTTAATAATATTTTTTTATTTTAATTTGATTAAATAAATAAATAACATAATATTATTAAAAAATTTAATTAATTATTAGAATTTATACTAACAGTATATAGGTAATTAATTCTTATTTTATTAAAATAATAAAAACTTTCTTTTGTTCCGGTACTTGAATTTTTATATTATCATATAATTGTTAGCACAAATCAACATTTGTATTATTTGGTGTAAAAAAATTGTTTTCTTAAGGTTTGATCTCTATTTTAAATATGAAATTATATATTTTAAATATAAAATTGTAATTGAAAATGTCATTTTATTTTTAATATGAACCGACATATAAAAGGGAGTAATATCTCCTAATTGTATAAAAAAATATTGAATATTAAAATATAATCGTAATATTTTGTGGTTTAAATATTTTTTCTAATCATCAAAATAATAATATTACCAGTATTGTTCAAACTTAGAAATTTGGACAAATGATGTATAATTAATATTATGATTTAAGTATTAAAATTAAATATATTTTTAGTTTCTCAATTTTGGGTAAATTTTTTTTTTTAGTCCTCTAAATTTAAAAGTATTTTTTTATCTCTTTAATGTGAAAATAACTCATTTTAGTCCCTAAATCTAATATAGTTAAAAAAAATGGCTAACATGGTTAACAATGCATGTCTAAATAATTTTAAATTTGCAATTTGTGATGACTTTTGACCATACATAATACTATTAAAACATAATTAAGGTTCGATTCCAATAAACAAAATAAAATTTCTCATTCATTAATAAATGAAATGGTACAAAGTTACGAAGAATAGAATATCTCAAAAAAAATATTATTTACTCTTAGAAAATCATTTTGAAAATTAAAATCTTAAGAATTAACATTGTAAGTTGGTTGATGAACAATGTTGGAGGTGTCATTAAGCTTCCTTCACCAAACTAATGAAGGTGGTGTACTTACAAGCCTTCAAAATTTTATCATGTTTTTTGGAATCAAAGCTTGATTACATGCTTTCAAAAGATGTAGAATCTCTATGAATTTGGAAAATGAAGATTATGGTAATAGGTTTGTTGATGAAGGCAAAAATGAATTTTTAGGTGAAAAATATTTTATGGTGATCAAAAGTCATTATAAATCTCAAATTTAAATATGCTTAAACATATATTTTAACACGTCAATCATTTTTTAAAATGGTTAATTGTGGTGGACTAAAATTAGTCATTTTTAATATTAAAGGACTAAAACACTTTTAAATGTATAAAATTAAATATAAAATTGACCTAATTTTTTTTAAAAATATATTTAAGTTTAAATATTATAATAAAATTTTAAAACCCTAAAGTTTAAATGTAACTTTGACTCTATTAATTATTCATATCTGTTTATTTATTTAAATTATAAGTATTCATTTGAAAACTTAAATAAAATATTAGTGATAGGAATAGTATGTACAAATTACAATTCATTTCTACACTATTTTTATTCTCTAAAACTAGTGGGAGAGAGACTCTATATGTGTCTATTATTTTAAAAATAAGAATTAAATAAAAGATAATAAAATTGATGGTTAATTAGATATTTACGAGGAAATAAGAAAAACTAAAAAAAATAAAAAATAAATAAAAATAGGGAGAGAAAATTTTAGAAATAGTTGTTAAAATGATTAACACTATTGTATATATAAAAAATACATATATAGGTGATATAATGACATAATTAAAATTGTAATAAATGTGAAGGTTCTTTACTTCTGCTGTATAGAAAGAAAGACCATTACAATTTACAAGTGAAAGAGTCAAGAAAGGAAGTAGCATTGTATTTCCCGTTATAAAAAAAAAAAAAAAAAAGTAGCTTAATAATTTGGATAACCAAAATATTTTGAAACAAATTTTGATATATAATTTATAAACGCGTGTTTAAAAAATTAGGCATTTGCACTTAGTGATTTGCGCTTTTGATTTCTCAATTTTTTATTAATATGTAATTTTAATATTTTATTTTAAATAAATATTTTTATTTATTTATCTTTTTTGAAATATAAAATTTTAATTTTATTCTCAAATTAATTTTTGTTGATGATTAAATTTTAATATTGTTCGATTATCATTTTAATGTAATATGTTATGAAAAAAATAAAAATTAGCATATAATTTTTTTTATTTATATCCATTTTAATGACTAATTAATAGAGTATTTATATTATTAATAAATTTTATTACATAATTTTTTAGTATTTTATTTTTAAATGTTATTTTATTAAATGTCATATATATATATAAGTAAATAATTAAAATTTAATAATTAATGAATATTATTTTGACGAAAGAGTAAAGTTTTATATTTTTAAAATTAAAAAATTAAATATCTCCACTTTTAAATAGAGTGATTAAAATTTTGAATTGGTGAAAATAAAAGGAAAAAAAATGTAATTTAGTCTAAAAATTAAAAAGAGAAATAATTTGAGGTAAATAAAAGGAAAATTGAAAATTGTGTTGTGTAGTGTACCCTAGCTTTGTAGTGCGTAAACGAACCTGTCCAGAGCTTGGTGGTATTGGTTATCGAGTCCCTTCGCTCTCGCTCTCGCCTTCGATCTACTCATCTGAACAATTCAACAACTCAATTCTCGTTTCAACGCTTTAGTGTCTCGCCATTCACAGGATTCCTTGTACGTTTCTCTTTAACCTAACCTCATTCTCTTCTTCGTTTCCTCACAACTTTATTCCAGGATTCAAGACCGAATCATTGCCAGTTTTATTTTTAATGTTTGTTGACACATCAAAATTATCTTTTCTTACGTCAAAATCTTCACCACGCAGCTGTATTTTCATAAATTGTGGGTGACTTTTATATTTAGAAGGAAAAAAGTGACATGAAGCTTAACCTAGAATTGTAATGTTGCTTAGTATTTGTTCTGTTTTACAATTTTCCATCATTTTGATGCTGATTTTCTGATGTTGACTCTTTCTAAACTATCTCTTGTTGAGTGTTTACCACTTCATGAAACTTGTTAGAATTTCAAGCATTTTAGTTCAAAAGCATTGTGTCTAAGAGAATAGAGTTGAATGATTTCCCCTTTGTTAATTTGTACTCAGTTGAGGATATTAGCCACTAAATTGGATTGCAGAAGATATCGGTAGCCTGAATATTAATTTATGTCCTTTTTTGAAGACCCATTTAGTTCATATTGTTTCTATTGGTCCAAATTTTAGTTCACATTGTTTCTATTGGCCTGAATATAAATATCAAAGAGAATAGATATTTTGGTTCTGTGACTCTATAATGGGAGGAGACGATAAAGGAATTGGCTGGTTGTGTGGGTGAGACTGGTCATTAGATTAAATGTGAACAGCAAGGAAGATTTATTTAATTTGAAAATGGGAATATTGGGGACTTGATAAGTGGAATCTTGTGTTCGAATGAGAAGCATGGGAGTTGCAGGGAAGAGGTGCTAGGTGAAATGGTGATTGGTGAATGACTCAATCATTGGAGGTCATTAAGAATTTCTATTTGTTTAATCGTTCATTGTTCCACTTAATTGGTTTTAATCTACGTACTTCTTTTTAGCCTTAATCGTAAAAATAAGTTCACTCAGCATTTGGTTGGTCAAGTTTTTATATTGTTAATTGTCAAATTGGTCATATTTTTGCATTCAAGGATCACCTATGTTTGTTAATATGATTTTTTATGACATATAATATATTCTACACCATATATGACATTATTCTAGGTGATGACAATACATTAATTTGATTAGGAATAATGGACATTTGGTTTATCTGTAAATGGTCACAAACTTGCAATTAGAAATAATGAAAATCTACACGGTGATACCTATAAAGATACTACCCAAATCCAATCAAAATGATATATATTGCTAATTTTCTATTGACTTATTGGCTATAATATTCGTATTTGTTGTAAACCTGAAAGAAACATTTTTAATTCCTCTGAAAGCCATAGAAATAGATACTGCCACGTGTCAAATTATTGGTATTATTATCCAGTTTGCATTTGATATCATACAGATGAGTGAAAACAAATTAATATTATACATTTTTTTTTAAATCAAGGAAAATATGGTTTTGTTCTCTTCGTGGCTTTCTTTTGTGTGAAACTAGTAAACTCATATTATACGTAGGGTTATTGATATAGTGGATGAAATAATGTTTCTGTCATGTTCATTTCATGCATCTCTGCAGTCTGCATATTTGATTCTATTGTGTGTGGTTTTTCTTTTCCTATTTATAAGTCAGTGCATTTCTGGTTAACATGAGGTGGAATAAAATGTTAAATAACTTCTATAAAAAATTGTTTTCCTAGACCCAATCCTTCCCTTTCCATGGTGCAAGAAGAAAATAGTCTGTTTTAACTGCCAAGGTGATTGATATGTTTATTGCACAGCTATCAAATTTGACTTTTGGTAATGAATTTATTATGCTAATATAGTCAGAGACACATTCTGCAGCATCATTCTGTGAAAATAGAAAATTTATTATGTAGTACCTCGGGGTTAGATAGTATTCAAACGGATCAAATAGAGTAATCAAGCAATTTTTATGAGAATTTTGTTTATGTTAAATTTTAGCAGTTTGATTTATGTTATTAAGAAAATGTTTAAGTCTTGATCCCCCCCCCAACTCTTTTATGTTTTGATGTATAACTGTATATATATGTGTGTGTTTGCTTAGTGAGCTGGCACATGGGCTAACCCTAGTTTTTTTTTTTTTTTAATTATTCTGTGGACCTTTTGGTCCTAGCCTGCATGGGCCAGAGCTGGTCCATTTGACAGCTTTAGTTGCTTTTTATCCCCACATCTGTCCTCTCTTTACCAAGCATAGGAAAAGGAAAAACTCTTTGCATCGGTTTAATGACATAATTATTGTACTGATATGATTTTAATTTTTAGATTAATTGATGATTTTCTATTCGATGCTATTAAAAAATTAATCTGTTCTTTATTATTTTTCCCACTCTCTAACTTCTGATATTGACTATATCTTTAATTCTTTATCTATCTGATTGTGGAAGCTGATTATTTTTCACTTTGGCCCCCAGCTCCCCTTCCCAAATTATTGTGCATAGGCCATAGGATATCTTAATCTGGTCACTGCAAAAAGATAGAATGTCTGAAGAGGCTGGATCTATGTTGGTAGTTTATGATGATCCCTCTGACCAACGCTCACTTTCTTTGGATGATGCAAGCAGTGCAGAGGAGTCTCCTGATGAAACCAGGCTCTCCTTGGAAACAACAAATGATGCTATTCCATATATTGGTCAAAGGTTTGCCACTCATGATGCTGCTTATGAATTCTATAGTGAATTTGCCAAAAGAAGTGGCTTCTCAATTAGACGTCACCGGACAGAGGGAAAAGATGGTGTTGGAAAAGGACTTACTAGACGCTACTTTGTTTGTCACCGTGCTGGAAACACTCCTGTCAAAACATCAACTGAAAGTAAACCTCAAAGAAATAGAAAATCTTCTCGCTGTGGGTGTCAGGCTTACATGCGGATTAGCAAAACCACAGAATTTGGAGCTCCAGAATGGCGTGTGACTGGTTTTGCTAACCACCATAATCATGAACTTTTAGAACCAAACCAAGTTCGATTCCTTCCTGCATACAGAACTATCTCTGATGCTGACAAAAACCGAATACTCATGTTTGCCAAAACAGGGATCTCTGTTCATCAAATGATGAGGCTTATGGAGCTTGAGAAGTGTGTGGAACCTGGATATTTGCCTTTTACTGAAAAAGATGTAAGGAATTTACTCCAGTCATTTAGGAAATTAGATCCAGAAGAAGAAAGCTTGGATTTATTAAGAATGTGCAGAAATATTAAGGAGAAAGATCCTAATTTTAAATTTGAGTACACACTTGATACAAACAACCGTTTGGAGAATATTGCCTGGTCTTATGCTTCATCAATCCAATTATATGATATATTTGGTGATGCTGTGGTGTTTGATACAACACACCGCCTAACTGCATTTGACATGCCACTAGGGATATGGGTCGGAATAAATAATTATGGAATGCCTTGCTTTTTTGGCTGCACTCTTCTACGGGATGAAACTGTGAGGTCATTTTCCTGGGCACTAAAGGTAGTGTGATGAAGTTATCGATACTAATATTGTTTAGTTTTTTATTCCAATTGTGTTGTGGCATCTTAGATTTTTTTTTATTGAAACACACTGGTTTGGCTTAATGAAAATATAAATGGAAGGACAACAAATATTATATTGAAGATTGAATTGTTATAAAGAATAGGGCAGTTTCTAGGATATACTAGTGTGCATATGGTAATGAATGGATACCATTTAAATCACTGCCACTCCAAAGAATTTGGTAAATGTGTGTAAGCACCTTATACTAGTTTCCTGTTGTATTTCTTTTTTCATTATTCTAAAATGGACAAAATTGTAGTTGAGCATTTCTTTCTTTTTATTTTCACTTGTTGAGTCTATATTAATTTTTGAGACGTCCTACAGCTCTTTAATTTACATTGCTGATCCTTCTGTTTTTCTTCTTTTTTTAAATCACCTTCTTGGAAGGCTTTCTTAGGGTTCATGAATGGGAAGGCTCCACAGACTATATTAACCGATCAAAATATATGTCTCAAAGAAGCACTATCCACGGAAATGCCAGCAACAAAACATGGTTTCTGCATATGGATGATAGTAGCAAAGTTTCCATCTTGGTTCAATGCTGTTCTAGGGGAACGGTACAATGAGTGGAAGGCTGAATTTTATAGACTGTATAATCTTGAGTCAGTTGAGGATTTTGAATTAGGCTGGAGGGAAATGGTTTGTTCTTTTGGGCTGCATTCCAATCGGCACATGGTTAATTTATATAGCTCACGCTCCCTTTGGGCATTGCCATTTTTGAGAAGCCATTTTCTTGCTGGAATGACTACAACTGGTCAGTCGAAGTCAATTAATGCTTTCATTCAACGATTTCTGAGTGCACAGACCCGCCTTGCACACTTTGTTGAACAGGTATTATATATTTCTGTCTCTATTTGTTTGGATATCATTAATAAATAGGTTTCACCGAGTTTTCTGATTTTGTTATATCCTATGTTTTAGTTAAGTGAGAGATCTCTATATTTCTGTTAACTTGGAGTTGCATTATCAGGTAGCTGTTGCTGTGGATTTTAAAGATCAAACTGGAGAACAACAAACCATGCAGCAAAATCTCCAAAATGTTTGCCTCAAAACAGGGGCCCCCATGGAATCACACGCTGCCACAATCCTTACCCCTTTTGCCTTTTCAAAGCTTCAAGAACAACTTGTGTTGGCTGCACATTATGCCTCTTTTTCAATTGAAGATGGTTTTCTTGTGAGGCACCACACAAAAGCTGAGGGAGGTCGTAAAGTTTATTGGGCCCCTCAAGAAGGAATTATAAGTTGTAGCTGCCACCAGTTTGAGTTCACTGGTATTTTGTGTCGGCATTCTCTTAGAGTTCTTTCAACGGGAAATTGCTTTCAGATCCCAGATAGATATCTTCCTGTTCGATGGCGTCGAATCAGCATGCCCTCTTCTAAGCTTCTTCAAAGTGCACCAAATGATCATGCTGAAAGAGTCAAGTTATTACAAAATATGGTTTCATCTCTTATGACAGAATCTGCTAAATCTAAGGAACGGTTAGATATTGCAACAGAACAAGTTTCGATCCTTCTGTCTCGCATAAGAGAGCAACCAATATCGTTACAAGCTGGACGAGATATTTCTTCCATTAGTAGGAATCTTTGACTCCAGGATATAAAAGGATATGGTTGAGTTGGCAGTCTGTGGAGTTCAATAAATGAGAGTTACACCAAAATGTATATGAGAAAGCAGACTTATTGGATTTCTCATGCTCGATTGAAACTATTTGAAGGAGATAGAAGCCGCAGAAGTTCTGTAGATTAGTAAATGCCAAGTGAATGACAAGAATTCTATTCTGTACAAAATTGTATAGTAAATTTGTTCATACGCATTTTTGTATTTGCAATATATCTTCCATATTTTTAAAAAAAATTTAGAGGAAACGGTGTTGTTTGTAATAGAGATTTCAAAGATTGCAAGAGATCCCATTAAAATGCGGCCAAGTTTGATTACACTTTCTTATGATGCAAAAGTTTTAAGAAGAGGCTGATGATATCGTAATTCAAGGTAAGAAGAGGGGTTGTGTATAATGTCCTAATTCCAGGTAAGAAAAGCCTTGAGATTGAAAAAAACAAAATATTTGTCCAGAAGGTTATAATTCATTTATTGTAATGGTTGTATTTGAATGGAGAATTTTATAAATTTAAGAAATTTGAATTATTTTAATTTTTATTATTTAAATTTTTAGTTTGGATAAATCAATTTAAACTTTTAAAAGTTTAAATTCTGAATTTTAATAGGGTAATTTAATTTTTAACATAGATAAAATTAGTTTTAAACAAATAAATTTATGTTGAAATTTTAAATTTTAAATTTATAAAATTAAATGTTAGTCAATTTTTAAATATTTAATATTTTTTAAAAAAATAATATTTGATTAATATTTAATAATTTAAAAATAATTTTGAATATTCAATAATTAAAAATAATTATTAATATTTTTTATGTCAACTTTAAATAAAAAAATATGGAACCCCAAGCGTGTGGTTCAGCGATAGGGGTTGATCCACGCTTAAGCAAGGTCAGGGGTTCGAATCCTGCCTTGTGTATGCAGCCGCGTTAAATCTTGGGGCCAGCTATCCCACCCTTTGAGGTGCCTCCAACGTAGCGAGGAGATTAGTCACTGCTGTCGGCGGTGGATACTCCAGGTACGAACCTAAAATAAAAAATAAAAAAATATGGAGGTAAGAAAAAAAAAATTTATTTTAATTTTTTTTTGAAGAATTTAAAATTTTACTATTTTGAAGGAATTTTATAAATATTTAGATTTCAAATTTTTTTGTAATCCAAACAAAATATTAAAGTAATAAGTTGGGGTACGAATTTAAAATTAATAAAATGTTATATTTTTTTTATCTAATAAGTCCTCCATTCAAACAAAATATTAAAGTAGTAAGGATAGGAATTTGAAATTCATGAGATGCTATATTTTTTTATCTAATTAAATCTAAAAATCGAGAAATTTCTATTATTTCTTCACATATTTCAAAATATACAAGATATTGATAATAGTCCAGATATAGTTACACAACGCTTTGGTTTTTTTAAGTAGAAATGGTATCTTTAGAAAACTAAAAATAGGCATATACATCAATCCCAAACAATCTTTGGTTTAATGATGAATAAATAATTAAAAATGCAATGCAACATGTAGGAATCTTGCGGTATTTATGTCACATGAGACAGACAGATACTATCCCTTTAATAACAAATGTGTGGCTAGTATTACTAATCCTTTGGATGGATACATAGTTATGTGAAAATGCTATGGAAAAGCCCTTGAAACTTTTGACAACCTATTCGTCTCCTACATATGCTTGAGTTCAAAGCTGTACAATTGAATTCAGTATGTACATTAACCCTTCTATTTTTCAGCCTGATCTAACAGTAATCCAATTCCCTGATGACCTCAGTGCACTGTCTTCCTGTTTACACATTGTTATTCCTTTTGGGCCATCATCGTGACATGCAAATGATTTTGTGGTTGAGAAATCATTCCCCTCTGAACTTTCTAATCCATCTAAATCATAATAAGTATCATTGAAGTTTTGAACATCCAAGACACTTGCTGGTGAGGAAACACATTTTTGGTGAGAAAGTCTTGTGGAAACAAATGGATGGACAAGTAACTCCTCAGCCGTACACCTCTTACTGGGTTCTCTCTCCAAGCACTTGCTCAAGAAATCCAAACCTTCCTCAGAGAAATGAGGTGGAAACTGAGGTATCTCATGGCCGTGGGCAATGCTGATAACAGCAGTGAATGGATTTGAAATCTGATGAGCCCAAGGAGGCGTGCCAGTAGCCATCTCAATAATTGTACATCCCAAGGACCATATATCTGCAGCAAAATCCACTGACTCATTCCTCAATACTTCAGGAGCCATCCACAGAGGTGTCCCACCAATAGAGTGCCAACAATCTGCCAAGTCCTTTACCCTCGTTGCACATCCAAAATCCGCCAACTTGATGTTACCAGATGACCCCAAAAGCACGTTCTTGCACTTAAGGTCACAGTGCACAACTCCATTTTGGTGAAGATGCTTTAACCCAAGAAGAATTTCTCTTGTATAGACCCGAACCACCTCCTCTTCCAACGACCCACCAAACTCGTGTGCCACATCTGATAAATTACCCCCTGCCATATACTCCATAAAAATATTGATCTTGCCTTGGTCCTCCTCTGTCCCCAAACATTTAACAATATATGGCGATGAATTTAAAGTCTCGAGGATTTTAACCTCTTTAGCCAGGGCCTCGCGTCCAGCACCCGAATGTGGTGATTTCACAACAAAAAGTCCACCAGTGGATTTGTTTATGGCCAAATGTACAGTGCCAAAAGATCCACATCCCACCACTTTGCCCTTCATCCATTCACTTCGTTTAGGCCACTTCCATTGGCATATTGAATTTGCACCCATACCTTCTTGCCACCACCAAATACGGCAAGGGCATTGAAGTGAAAACAGCTTGATCCAGGAACACCTTTTCTTTCAAATTATGGAAGCTAAATATGAACTATGAAAAACAAATCATCCAAAGAATTCCATCAGATGAACTATGAAAAATAACCCATCCAAAGTGGTTGATGAATTTCGTAAAAGTAGTAGAGCGGTTTCCGAGGAATCGGAAAACCGCCCTAACTACTAAGGAGCAAAATCCCTCCCTCCCCTTTTGATGCAGTGGGGATTTGGTTTAAGTTGAATGAAGAAGAAAAGGTGACACGAAACAACAATCAACAAATGAACACAACAAACTCCAACTTATAAAAGCCACCGTTTTCGGTCGTTGGCAGTTAACGGTTGGTTATCCTTAATTTTTGCAACTGTCTATCGGTGTTCAGAGATAATAATATACACATAAGCGTCGCCTTGGCTTTCTTCAACTCGCATACACATTGTCTCTTACAAAGGGAGAAATTCATTGATACAAATGTAGCAAGTGTATCGTAGCCCAATCCAAATGCTTTGACCGAATCAAATCCAGATGTTCATATTTAGCAATTTTTCAAATTAAGAAAATAATTTACTTCATCTTTCTCCCTTCTTTCCTTACATAACGATCAGCTTGTCTTACCTCTTACGTAAATTGTTGCCTTAATTTAGGTCTTACATTATTATTTACCGTCTAATTCAGAGAAAGAAAAAAAAAATTATACGTGCAGAAAAAATATTAGGATATTCGTAACTTCATGTATAAAATTGACAATGTTTGCCCAAATATTATCCTAGATCTCTTTTTTTTATAAATAAAATAAATAAATAAATAAAAGGAATGTTAAGGTTGGTAATAACCAAATAAGCAATACAGCAATCCCAAGCGTGTGGTTCAGCGGTAGGGGTTGATCCACCTTTAAGGAAGGTCAGAGGTTCGAATCTTGCCTTGTGTATGCAGCCGCGTTAAATCTTGGGGCCAGTTATCCCACCCTTTGGAGGTGCCTCCAACGTAGTGATTTTTTTATATGTCAAAATTATAATGATGATAACAATTTTAAACCTCAAACTTGAAACATTATTAAGGATAAAACAAATTGAATTTATTTTTTTAATAGACCAAACTATTTAATTAAATAAATAAAAATTGTACCATTGTCTATTGGAGTGAAAGTTTGTGAAATAAAGGTTACACCAAAATATATCACTTTTTTACGAGTGAATGAAAATTTGAATCTAATTTAAAAATAACATGACAAGTCCAAATTTGTATGATCAAGAATAAATATGAATAAATTAAAATTTAATTAGTTTTTGGACTATAAAAAATTACTTAAGCTCATTTTCTTAATTTAATATAATTTTTGTATTTTATTTTAATTAAATAAATTTAGATGTTTTTTTATATTGTTTAAGTTATTTTTTACTTTTTAGTATTTTTGACTCTCTAAACCATAATGATAATTAGTGAATTAGAGGAAAATCATTTCTAGTAAAATATAAATGTTAGTAGAAATTTATATCACGGTAAAGTTTGTAGTGTAAAGTTACTACTCGTATATGATAGATTGCTTATTTAAGTTTATAAATAAAAATCTCTTGCAAGTATCCAAGACATACTTAATAAAATAATCAAATTGTTATTTTTCTTTGTGAGAATTTTCTCTTTGTTCTTTGGTAAATGTGAGAGCCCCCGTACGGACTTTTCTCCAACTCACCTTCTCTCTAAACTTCCACTTTCATACTTCACTACTCTCGCTTCTCCTTTCTCTCTTTTGAACTTGTGGTTTTGGTGGCTGAAGGGGCTGATTGAAGGTTGAAATTCTTGTTGAACCGTGCTGTGCGAAGCCCCTTCCTTCATCTTCTTCTCCAACTCTCATCCTCTTCGTTCCGTTTCTCTTCCCGGAAGCTCGGATTCTTCACCCGAGGTAAGGGAAGTTAGTTTTCTGGTGGTGTTCTGGTTGAAGTGAGTCTGAGAACTCAAGTAGCCGGTTCTGATTTTCAAATTTCTGGTTGTTGGGTGTGGCATTGGAGTTTTTGGGGACTTTGGGGAGTTTGGGGAAATTCTTGATTTCCTATAATTTTGTGGATGCATGTATGAAAAAATGTCATTTTCGAACTCTTGGATGGAAATGTGATACTTTGGCTGGACTGCATGTACTTGAAAGTGACTTTTACAGGTGTTTGGGGAAATTTTCGAACTGGGTAGGGTTGCAGATGAGCTTCGCGCTGAGCGCTGTTCATCGCGCTAAGCACGTGACCGCCAGGGGACCTCATTTAGTCAAGCTCGCTAAGCGCCTTGATGAGTGCGCTGGGCGCGCTTGAGAATGTGGGTCTCTGGTTGGCCCTCGCTGGGCGCGACTTGGACTGCGCTAAGCGCGATACCCATTGTAACTTGTTGTTGGGCTCCAGAGGCTGCGCTAAGCGCGGCCCTTGTCGCGCTGGGCGTGAGACTCCTTGGGAGTCTCAGCCTCGTGGGCGCTAGGCGCAATTTCGAATTGCGCTCGGCACGAGACCAAGGG